AGTTGGGCAACAGGGGGGCTCTAACAAGGAGTCATTTACATGCCCGGTGGTCAAGTGGTCAGCTTCAATGAGTTATTTGTGAAAGCAAGGGTTGCCTGAGTCGTTAGGGGGTTCAGGCCCCGCAGTCCTCGTTTTGCCTCGCCAGGACGGCAACCCGCTGGCGTCCATGCAGCGGGCCGCCACGCAGGCGGCCACGCAGCTGGCGGCAGGGGTGCTGAAGACAGGCCTTGAGCTGGTGACCATTGCCAGAGATAATTTCGATCTTTTTTGGAAAGTTCCTCCTCCTTTTGTCAAGAAAGAGAGCACCAGGACACATCTTTTCGCACGGGGAGGTGTGGCCAAGGTACAAGGTCTTCGAGGACAAGCTGCAAACACCCGCGGGGTCGGAGATGATCACCGCAATTCAGGAGGGGCTAGCTTGCTTCCTGCCATGACTGTTCCGCTGGTTTGGCCGGTGAGGCAGGGGCCAGGAGCCGAAAGCAAGCCTTGGACCTTGCGACTTCGCATCACTCAGCTTGCTCCCAGGAGGCTGGCAAGCTGGGGGTCCCTGTCATGCTGGGGGACCGCCCGGCGCAGCAGACCTTGACCCGCCTGGTGGAGGCCAGCCAAGGCACTGATCTAGGCGGGGGCTTGGCCGAACGGATTGTAAAGGAAGGAATGCTGCCCCAAAGACGGCAAGGCATGCAGCCACAAGCTAGACATCTGCCACATATTATTGGGGATCCACATTCCATAAGAGAGCATTGTTTGAGCCCTGAGCCGCCCAGATAGGGCTAGTTTGGACGCCCCTTTGCGGAGGAGTCTTGCGCCATTTGCATCCTGCTTGAATTTGTGAGCCTTGCTCGCCGTTCACGCCGCTTCTGTTCTGAAAAGCTGCACAAAGCTGCTGGTCGCCCAGGTCAGTGTGCGCCCGGGGTTGGGCTTTTCCGGGTTGGGGGAAAATTGAAATGCTTCCTGGACAGCTTTGGGCCATGGATCGAATCTGGCCGATGGATGCCAAGTTTTGATCGCAGGCCAACTGGAGCAGGATCTGGCTGAGGCAGTTCCTGAGCTGCGCGTGGGCGATGGCTCGACACTAGGCGAGGCGCGCGGGGCTACACCATCGAAGGTCAAGTTGAAACTGTCCTCCCCAGAAAGTCGGACCAGATCTTCAAAAGCAAAACAACATGGGATCGATAATTCTGAGTCCAAGTCCGGCCTCTTTGATTGTGCACTCCCCAGCCTTACCCAGTCTGGTTCTGTGCCAAGTGATGGGTACCTACTTCAAGGATGTTCGCAGGTCTCGGTGAGTTACTGTCCAAACAAGTATGACAGCAAACATATGCAAAAGTGCAAGTTTGACAATCTGCTGAGCATGCAAAATTGCTTGCGCTGGTGTTAATTCCCCAATACGGCCTGAACAACTCAATGGGGCCGGCAACCTGCACATTCATCACCCATACACTGCATTGCGCCTTTGAAATGGGGGGGGGGGGGGGGCAGGCCCCGACCCAAGCTGGCAAGTGACCCCTTCGAGCGAACGGCGCTACACTCATGGCATCTTAAATCAAGCTACATGAAATCGCACGGCCTAGCTGCAAGCCGTGGGCAATGGGCGAAGGAGAGAAGATCGCCAGCTGCCGTGCACCCCAAGTGCCCTGCTCTTCCCCCCCCACCAAAACTTCAAGCAGGGACCCTGAAGCCGTCTTCCCGCGCAGTCTTGTTCTTCTATGTTTGAGGCGTGGCCCAACCCTGCGCAACTCGCAGGTCCTCAACAGTACCTCCAACACGTCACTTTCTCAGACGCCTCCCACGCCGCCCGCGCCTCCCGCGCGCGGAGGCCTGCAGGCGCTGGTGGACAGCGCCACGGACCAAGCGATGGCGCGGCGCCTGCGCCGCAGCTTCAAGGCCTCCGCGCCGGAGCTCTTCGCTGCCCTGGCCGGGGGGGGGGGAGGGGGGGGGGTTTGGGGGGGGGTTGGGGGACGTTGGTCCAAACAATGGGGCCGCAAACGCCACTTCAGTCCATCGACCCTTGTAGTCCAGAACAATCGCCGGCTACGCAACTGGAGCCTCTCCTGCCCCTTCAGATGTGTAAGGCGACGTTGCACCGTTTGACGTGTTTATTCTCAATTGTGCGCGGAATGGCGGGCTCTGAGACTCATGCAGGTTCAGACGTTTGAGTCTCTAATGCCACTTGAAATTGTCCAGAACTGCGCTGCGAGTCCTGGCCGGGCTCGCCAATCTAGTCCCTGGAAAGGAACGTAAATGAAAATAGTATCTGGGACCCACTGTTTGGGCCATTCCGGGTCTGAGCGACCTTGCTTTCTCGAGCACCAAAATCCTTCCTGAATTATGGGGCTAGACTAGGCTTGCGAGTCCACAGGCAACCCTTGTGCAGTCCTGCGCCAAACTTGGCCGCGTGCAGTCTGGCAGATTTTTGGCCTCCAACTGCAACTGTGAGACCTGCGCTCCAGACTGCGTGCGAGTCAAGTTCGAACCAAAGCAGCCCCACGCCAGATCGAATATTTTGGGATCTAAGCATGGTATTTCGCATGCGCAGACTGGCAGACTAAGGTTGTTCTTCGGGTATCGGTTTCCCGAACTGTTCTGTCTTGTTGCGGAGCCCGCTTGCCTGTGACGTTTCCAATCTGCGAGTCGTTTCCGGTTGTTGTATACATGGGTACGGGCCAAAATTACGCCACCAGGGGACCGCAGGTTTTAGTCTTTGGTTCCATGTACCAGGGTGCCATTTTGGGTACCTATGTTTGACCCACAGCCACATGGCAAATATGGAGAGACGCCAGCTGACTGCCAGGTGGGCGAGCGGGACGAGTTCATGGCCGCCAGCCTGGCCCGTGCCGTGCGCAGGGGCAAGGGCGGCTGGTGGCCGCCCGGCATGCAGCTGGTGTGGTGTGGGGTCTGCCCCGCCCCCCCCCCCCCCCCGGGCAAGCCCGGAAAGCGGTGCCAGCAGATGATCAGTACTTAATTTAGTTTTGCCAGGGCGCATTTTTTGGACTCTGGTGCGCGTGTAGCGGGGTAATGGAAAAGTTTCAATGGTGCAACGCTTTGCGGGTTTCGGTGCTTTTGGTCGGAGCAGGCTCGGACCATGTTCGGAGCACCCTCGGATCACGTTCGGAGCCGGACCGTTGGCACGGACGCGCGCTTCTCGCAGAATCGTGGCAGGCGCGGCGCTTTTGCAAGGTGGGCGCAGTTCTTTCGTAGGGGCAGATGTGGTAGGCGCCGCGTTTTCGCAAGCCTCGCTTTTGCACCCGCTGTTCGTTGCGCTTTTGTGCGTGGCTTTTGTCTCGCTTCTGCACCTGGTTCACTGTCCTTGTGTTGTCCGGCAGCCCAGGACATGTCCGTCTTGCTTTTCTTTGTTCCACCCATTGGCTGGTTGGAGTCCGGCGCCTGATGACACGATTGGACGGCAGAAAAGGCTTGCAACAGTCGAGCGTGCGTGCTTTCCTTTGGCAGGCGTGGAAGAATCGAAGAAATACAGAAAGAAAGGAAGGAAAGCAAGAAAGACCGAAGGAAGGAAGGCAGGAAAGAAAGGAAAGGAAAGGGAAGGGAAGGAAAGGGAAGGGAAGGGAAGGAAGGAAAGGGAAGGGAAGGGAAGGAAGGAAGGAAGGAAGGAACGAAAGAGAGAAGGAAGGAAGGAAGGAAAGAAAGAAAGAAGGAGAGTTGGAAAGAAGGAAAACATATACAATAATCAAAGAAGGCAAGAAGGAAAGAAGAAAATAATGAAAGAAGGAAAGAAGGAAAGAAGGAAAGAAGGAAAGAAGGAAAGAAGGAAAGAAGGAAAGAAGGAAAGAAGGAAAGAAGGAAAGAAGGAGTGAAGGAGTGAAGGAGTGAAGGAGTGAAAGAAGGAAAGGAAGGCAGAGAAGGAAGAAAGAACGAAAGAAAAAATAATAAAGAAACAACATAAAGACATGTGACATACTGTAAATAACGGCAGACATACAGACAGATATAAATAACATCAGAAAGAAAAGAGAAGGAACGAAAGAAGGAAATAAAGATAACAAGTATCAAGAAGGACAATAAAGGAAAAAACAAAGTTCGGAAAAATAAGGAATGAAAGAATAGAGATGAAACAAAGACCGGACAAAATGACACTAAAGAAGGAAAGGACACATGAACGATTGCAAACAGCAAGAACAGAAAAAGAAAGAACAGACAGACGCAACTAACTTGTTTTGATATTTTAAGATTCCGCCCAATCGCTTCGCCGGCACTACGGGTACTGCCAATGCTCACTTTAGGATTGTTGCCAATGAGTGCTTCCGTATGGCCAACCTCATTATTGCCAATGCTTACCTCAATATTGCCTGCTTTTGGCATTGGGAGAAGCCCGTTCTTTTAGCATAAAGGGGGGAACCCCCCCCCCCCAGAACAAGTTGACATTAAAGAGAACCCCAGTACAGAGCCGCTACAGGGCTCTAGGTTCTTGTTGTGGGCATTGGTGATTGTTTTGCCTTTGGTTTCGGCCAGAATCATGTCAAAACATTGGTTTGGGGCCAGCTTTGAAACCAAGGATCCCTAGATCTCTGTCACCTTTCAAAGCACTGAGCAAAGTGAGGAGCAATCAGCTCAGAACTTTTTCTCCCCCCCCCTCTTAACCAGTCGAAGGCCCTGCTCAAGCGGAAAGGCCACACTTTCTGTCCCCCTATAAAGTGGCTACCACATTGTAGACATGCAAAATGTTTGCCAAGCGGGGTGGGCAAGGCCGTGGTGGGCAGTCTTCACGTCCAGGGCCTGTCTGAGTCGCTGGCGGCGCAGACCGGGCTCAGACCTGTGGATGCCTGCGTTGCTTGAGGAAAAAATGTAGGCAGCGCTTGCTCTGTCACGGTCGCGGCGGGGCCGGGTGGCCGGGGAGGGTTACTGTGAGAAGCCTCCAGCTCCATTTTCTGGTTTTCTCACGCAGCGCGAGAGCAAACCTAGTCAACAGCTTTATCGCTGGGTCAAGTCAAGGGGATTGAGTTGTGGCCTTGCGCCCGGGACGTGGGGCCTGCCCGGCTCAGATTCATCAAAGATGCTAGTGGGGAGCAGCCTGGCACTCAGATTGCTGGACTTGACAGAGAGCTTTGCCGGGCGGCCGTGGTTCCAGTTTGCTGGGCGGCAAGAGTCGGTCACACCCTTGTTCTCACTCACACTTTCGCACTCTCTCCCTCTCTCACTCGCAGTCCTCACTTCACCCCATTCACTCTACTCACTTCACCCCACCCTCTACTCACTTCGCTCACTCCGCCCACTTCACACACTGCACTCGCCCCACTGGCTCCTCACATTCCACCCGCTCTGCATCACTCCACTCATTCGACTCACTCCACTCCACTGAGTCGGTTCTCACTTACTCACTCCGGGGACAGCTTGGCCTGGACTCCCTTTTGCCAACAGAAACCCTTGCCTCCCAGTGCGTGGACCAGAATCTTTGAGATCCGAGCGCGGCACACGAGAGATGCCCAATGAGCATAATTGTTGCTACATTGCGTCGGCTGCATCTTTGGTAGACGCGGCCAAAACAAGCTTGATTCATGTCCTGGCGACTTCGTTGCGTATACTGATGGGAATGCAGCGGCTTTTTCCCTCGCAACTTGAGCAGCCACGGGCGGGCCCAGGCTTCATTTGCGACATCTATTGTCGGGGCGCCAGATCTTCGCCGCTGAGATAGCCCATGGCAGGGCGGCAGATGGGGTCTCGCTTTAGGGGAAGCTGGCAGTTTGGTTTGGTGAATGACGTGGAGCCTTGGCTCCGGGGTTCTTCAGGGTCTCATTGTGCTTTGCCTCCCGGCACAGGCTGCGCATGCCGATGGCAGCTCCACTCTTCCAGTCTCAAGAGATCATGTCTGCAGCTTTGAGCTCAAGAAAAGGCCAAAGGGCTACAAACAGCGGCCGGAGGCACAGCACTTTGCATTTGAGATGGTGGCTTCTGTCCCTTCTCACCTGGACTTCGCGGTTGAAGAGCGGGTGTTTGTGCACTTCCGTAGTTGGATGGAAAAGGCTCGGAAAAGGTTGCGCAGTTTGAGGCAGAGCGGGCCTTGGGAAGCCGGCCCAGGCCGAATATTGCGATATTGGGTGGCTGCGCCGGGTATATTCAACGTTGTTTGCAGCTCAGGCTCGACCGGGACAACTCAGGTGAACTCAAAAGCATCGCAGGGCAAGCACGGAAGAGCCGCAACGAAACCCTGGGTTGAAGGGGCAGTCCTGTTTGGATTATATGCATTGATTTGGTAGACTTTCGTAGTGCCAGGAATGAGGACTGCATGTTTACCCCATATGAAGGCAACGTTGTGTGCATTTGCATTCTTGACAACGCAGTCACTATATATATATATATATATGCACATATGTATATGTCCTGCCCCGCAGGCTTGATAAGCAACTGACGCATGCCAGCAGCAAAGCGGCTCCATGGTGCCGTGGATCGCAGCATGCTAGTTTTGCCACTCGTGCTTTTTGAGCATTCAATGTTTGTTGGATGTGCTAATTTGACCCAGCCTTGATTGTGGATTTTCGAGCTGCAGCAGGATTTGGGTGCATTGTTGCTGCCCAAGGGCGGGCCATGCTACGCTGACGAGCACATCCGCCACGTGGCTAGTGCATTCCGCAAACAAGGGCCCTTGTAGCAGGCCGGTAAGGCACCATTGACTTTCGTTTACGCACGGTTTGCCCTGCCCCATGACCTTCACACAAGGTTGTTCGGTTTCTTTGTGGAATCGTCAGGTGTTTGCGGTTTGGTTTGCAAATTGTGTTCAAGCAGTGGGCATTTGGCGAGCTTAGGTTTGACGGTGTCGATCTTCGTGAGCTCCCGAAGTGCAAAGCCGGTTTCCTTCCGCCTTCAGGCTCGCAAGAGGTGCACAGATGCCTTGATACTGCTACAAGACCAAAGTGACGAGCTGGTCGCTGGCTTCAGCCATTCATTTCGACAAGGGACTAAGAGACAGATTCTCGAAAGACTGCTGCCTTATTGGAAACATGTCTGGCCCCTAGTTCCTCTAGGTATAATGGCCCCAAGGATGGTAAACCCAGCAGACATTTGGACGGCCCTGGGCAGGGCACGGCGAAGCAGTGCCTCCAACGACTCCATGTGGAGGCGCTGGCCTTGGCTCGCTGGCAGCCGGCGCAGAGGCGGGGAAAAAAGGTGCCGCGGGTCTAGCAGCCGACCGATGGTCAGATCGGACTGCGTTCCTTTGAACCTCTGTGACTTTTCTGCTCATGGGGCATGTTTTGACTGCGCTACTTGCGAGCCCCGCACCACATGCTGCCTTCCGCGAAGCCCAAGACGGGAGCAGGAAGGTCCAAGCACATTTGTAGGCCCAAACACGCCAGGCTTGAGGACAAAATCAGAGTCTTTGGCCCAGTGTTGGTACTGATTGGTGTTGATGGCAGCCTCATGGCAGCCTCATGGCAGCCTCATGTGGCAGGAAGGTGACTGACCAAGAAGAGCGTGCTCAGACATACTCTTGCAACAAACAGCGCCCAGACTACTAGCCCAGTCTGCAGTCTGTAGATTGGAGAGTGTCCTCACACTTTTGCCATTCACCGCAAGGCTGGTTCCAAAGACCGCTGCTTGGCTCGGCTTAGGGTGGACGGGCCAGGCCCATGGGATTGCAATGGCTGTTGAGCCAATTTGCAGGCAGCGAGCGGGGAGAATCTGCTGCTTGCTTTTGGCTGGGTTTTTGCCGAGTTTTTCAGCCCTTGCCGAGGACTTTGGCTCCCGAGCCGCCGTCTCCGCGGAAGACTTTTACTCTGCTTCCACCTTTGGCGGTGGAAGGCGCGCCATGTTGGCGCACGCGGCTCGAGCCGCCGTTTCTTTCGACGCCTTGCGTGTTTAGAAGTCGTGATGCCGCCTCCTGAAGGTTTCAGTTCCTCAACTTGGCCCACAGGTTGCCAACTCCCTCATGTGTTCGCTTGAGATCCAAGGTTCGTGGGGCTTTGGGAGTGCAGTTGGCCCAGACTTAATTTTCCAATCCGTTGGGGCGTCAGAGTCCGGTGGTTTGTGGCCGAGTCGCTCGCGCAAAGCCACTAGGCTGGAGCTGGAGCTTTGTGCCTCTGTAGAGGGGTTCCTTTGCAGCTGGCTTCTGCCCGCCGTGACTTGGCCGAGGGGCTGATTTGGTCGTGGTAGGGCTGGAGAGGAATTGGGTTGTCGGACGGGGGACAGCGGTCGCAAAGGACCTGGCTGGAGGCATTTGAAGCCTTTCAACAAAAAATGATCATCACGCATCATGACGTCACGAGGCTATGGCAAATTTGAGATGGGATTGAACAAGTGCACCCCACCTTGAGATGAGAGTCAGAGTCGTTCCACCCGGGACGACTTTTAGACAAGATAGAACTAGCGGCGCTGCAGTTTTTGGCTCAAACCGAGCTGGGTTTTGGACGTCGGCAACAAGAGTCGTCAGCTCGGAGGAGGCACATTCTTTTGGCGCCTGGGACGCACAAGGGGCATCCGCAGGCACAATCAGGCTCGCTTTGGCATCTTGAACATGGCCAGGGATCTTCTTCAGGATTCCAGGCGCGAGTGGTTTGGGGGCCATTTTTTGACATGTGTCGCCTTTTCGCAGGCGCTGCTCGTGCCATCATGCAGTCGATGCAGTGTCAGGCTAGTTTCATGCATCCTGCCATTCGGAAGCACCTCAGGGTGCACGGAAGCCCAGCGCCCTCCCCAGCAACAAAAACAAACATCAGAAAAGAAGCGCAAACCAAACGTCAGAACCAAACGCGAATCCCAGCAATTGGCCCATACAAAGCCCTTCGTTTTGAGGTCCTAAGGCGATGGCATCTTCCCTGGCCTTCGCGGCGCTGCCTGCAGCCCCCGGAGGCAAAAGGGGTCCGTCGCCCATGGCCTCGCCGCGGGGGGGGGGGGGGGCGGGGGAGGAGTCGCATGCAGAAAGGGGGTAGCCTAAGGGCACTTTTCCTTTTCAGTTGTTTTTTCTTTTTTTCTTCAGGCCCTTTCAAAGGGTGAAGTCTAGCAGATTAGTTTCAAGAATGACAGCCGCTTTGCGAGGATTCAGAATCCCTGATTTCCGTGAGCCAGGTTGGTTGCTCATGAAATGCTAGGGAGGTAGGGGCTGGACCTTTTCTCGAGTCATCGCAGAGTGGTCCCAAAGCTTTTGGACAAAGTTTGATGAAGCCCTGGACCTCAATCTTGGGGCCCAAAAGGCAATGCGTCAATGCCAGGTGCGCAGCCAAGCCTTGGCAACAGAGCAATTGTCCACGTGCCGGGGCGCGCTGGAGGCCTGTGCAACTTTGACGTGGCTCTGAATTTTACTGCCTTCCCTCTGATGTCCACCAAAAGGTCCCCAGTTTCCAGACGGGTAATTTGGTGTTCCGCAACTGGCTCAGCATCGTTCACTTGAGCTGCGCGGTCTGCAACAGTCCAACACTTGGCTCCTTCTGGGAATCCCCGAAGATGCCAATGCTAAATACGGAAAAGCAAGGGGAGCCATTTCCCCACTTGACACTTTCAAGGAGCCCCCACAAAGCACAAGGGCGCCGAGTGATTGGTTTGGTCCCTTGCGCGCAGAGCCGGGCTCTGGAGCCTCTGCCGGCTCCGCCGGCTCCGCCCTGGGCGCGCTGGGCGGCGGCCTGGCCGCAGGGAAGGCGGCTGGGAGATCGCAGCGCAGGCGCGCGAGGGAGGGCGCCGGCCGCGTTGCGAGAACTTAAAGTCATGGAGGACCCAATGTTTCAGGGACTCATCTCGGGGGTGGGATCCATGGATGTCCATGGGTGACCGGACTGGAAGGGGGTTGCCGACGCCGCGCTGTCGCAGGAAGATGCAGCGCCGCTCCGTGACGATGACGCCCCCCACGGAAGCCAAAACGGCCGGCAGCGAGGTGGGGGCGTGCAAGGCAGGCAAGGAAGGCCCAGGTCAGAGGCTGGAGCTTATTTTGGGTCATCTAGGGTGATTCTGATGATTGTTGCTTTGGCCCCCGCACACAATGCCGTTATCCAGTTCTGACGGGCTTGAAAACAAGAGATGAGGCCTGGCAGCAGTACGGCACCAAGTGGGGCGTCCACAAGTTCGGGGGAGCCTCCCTGAATGACGCGGGGCTCTACAAGATCTGCGGAGATTTGCTTTTGTCCGAGTCCAAGAACGGAGCGGTGGATGGGAAGAACATGCCAACCGCTGCCATCGTTTCCGCCGCTGGGGGGATGACAGATCCTCGGCTGCAGCTTCTTCTGGTGCCTGGGTGATGCCCTTCCGGCAGCCGACGAGCCAACGAGCCCAGGATATGCTGGTTTCTATCATCAACACCTCCCTGGTGAGCGTTGAGGAATCCTGCGAGAAGCTAGAAGAAACAGCTGCAAGGCCACTGAGTTATGTACCTGATGCTGTTCAGCATGGCTTTGGGAGCCTGTGTGTCATCCCTTCTATGTTGTACAGGCAGAAGAGCATTTTGATGGAGCTGATCCCAGACAGGCCAGATTTGACGGATCCGGTCATTGCGAATATCGACCAGGACCATTCACTCTTTGCTGTAGGCCCTGACTTTCTCCGAGTTTCGCGCTTGCATCAATGTTGGCAGCTAGCTACGTTTGCCACAGGCCCTGCAGAGGCTTCGTTCCCGGTCGAACGTTGGCTGAATGCTGCGGACTCTCAAGCTGCGTCACTTTTGGTAGGAGGCTGCAAAGGTGTT